GAGAAAGAACTGAAAGGATGCAAAACTCATGCAATTCTGAGTCCAACAAGAAAGCACAACTTTTTAATTTTAGCTTATTGAGCTGCAAAAAATAGTCAAAGGGAAGTGGGTAGGGGCTATATATGATGCAGAATGCTAAAGAGAGTGAAAGGCATGAGAAAAAGAAGAATTAGAAAGAGAAACTTGAGGAGAAATTCTAGTATATCGAAATATGACTAAATTAATTGGCTACATAATTCAGAAAAGCTACTCTTTTTATTCATAAAATCCCATCTTAAAATGGACTGTTGTTAAAATGATAGTAGAAAATTTTCTAATTAAAACTAATGATTATGGCAGAAAAATAAATCTGACTCTATTTTCTATTTTTACACCTAAAATAGGTGCGTACTGTTATACTGTTTCCAACTAAATCTGTATCACTGTGTCCATTATTTTCTCAACTGACTTTGATAAGATAAACAACAAAAGTAGTTCCATAAAGTTGGATCAAGGCTCCAAAACTCCACTGTTATCCAAGTATCATCGGTAGGACTCATATTTCATCAAACCACAAATCTCTGATGACTCGAGATCCCAAAGTGCAACACAATGACCTTCTGAAACACCCACAATATCATAAGCTGACTCCTAAGAAGCAAAAGGAGCATGAGGAACAGAAACAAAGGACAATCCTGCAGGAAAAGATGAAGGAAACTTGGGAGCGTTGAATGTGCCTAACGAGGGAAATAAATATACTATGTTGAAAACTTGACTCAAATTTAAGCATAAGCCAATCAATTAACTAAGCAGTAGTTCCAAGCCTGAAAGTATAGGAACAGTGTCAAGTGGTCCCTTTACAAAGTCCATTCCCGGCATGTTCAGGATCATCAAAGGAAGAATAAGCACCATATAACATAATCACGCACTTTAAAATCTCCATCTTCAATGTGAATCAGCATTCAGCACGATGCTTATAATTTTCATCTGACCTCAGCATACACATCAAGAACATCGTCGGCAATGGCTCAAACATAAGCAACAGGACAATAAAAGATAGGCAACGACGCAAGTTTTAGACTTTTAGTTATTTTTGTGGATGGTCATGTTGTGAAATGATTAGTTTGTTAATTTGTTATACGCTATTTTTTAGATTCATGGCAATTTACAAATTGCTATATTCCCTGTGCCTAAAATAGCATAATTCAGAATATTTAAGAAGAATAAGAAATATTATGCAGCCACTGAACATTGTAATATCATAATAATCAGAAACTAGGCATTCATATGCATGAAATATGAGAAGAATATGCAGAGGAAATGCTACCTAAGGAATTTTCCAAGATGTTCTGGCCAACTATCTGAACCTCTACTATCATAGGCCTTATCAACTCGGTTTTTCCTTTTCTTGGTGTTCCTCCCCTTGCCACAATTTCCCCCTGCATTCAACCTCACCCGAATGCACTTTGATGAACTATCTGGTCCATCTACTGTGTCAGTAACAAGGAAATTCAATTTCTGCTTGAAAAAGTTATGAATTGCCTGAAATTCATTAGTTTCTAGTATGAGTAATAAGAAAACGTACATAAGTACTAACATACATAAAATACCACTAAATTTGTCAACCAGTACCGTTCTATGGGTTTTATCAGAGCTCGGAGAAAGAACAATGGACATGTCTTCATCATTTACATGAGAAGCAATTTGAATTACAAAACTTTTCAACTTCTCTGCATCAGAATCACCAGCAAGAGCCAGAAAAGATTCCATCTCGGTGGCATAATTGTGATTTAATTGAACAGTAGTCTTTACTTCCTTTTCCTCAGAGATCTATAAAAGAAAAACAATACCAACATAATATAGCATCTGTAACACAAAAAAGAAATTGATGGCACCGATAACAGTAAAAGAAAAATAAAATTTCACAGCATACCTCAGGTGGAACCTCTAATGAGGTTAAATGCACAACATTTCCATCCAAACCCACTTCATTTACAATAAAATCGGAATATCTGGAGAAAAATAAAAATAAAACAAGCAGAAAGATTTTACCATTTGTAAGTGATAACCAAGTTGACATTTATATAAATCAAAACATAATTAAGGGATTTACTAAGTTTACAAGAATAAGAGAAAACATTAAGAGTATTTTCTCTCTTAAATTCTTTATCTAATGAAGTGTATGACTCTGCAGCAGCTGGGATCAACAATTTCATCAATTTTTTCAAATGTTTGATTCAAGTAAGCTTAACTTCAAACACTCTTCCAGAAAATTCATACTCTTCCGGCGTATTTCAGTACCTGGTCCCCTCATTTGAACTAATATATCAGAAGGTGCTTCTACAATTGCATTCCCGTTCACAATTCAGCCGTTGAAGGAAATTAATTGATATAAATTTCTAATAATCCTCGTAACGTTAATAAAAAAACGCAAGTATATTTGATGTATGCAAATATTGTGAGAGAGAGCGAAGGAATACCTTTGCTTGAGAATTCCACTGAAGCCAGGAAGCTGCGAGATATAGCAAAGTATACCAACATCAGATTCTTCGACGGAATTCATGTTATTGGCGTTGCACGGCTGCTATCTCCCTCGGTTGCAGGGTTAGGCAGGTTTTTAGTGCACTGAAAAATGACTGCTAGGTTTTAGTTTTCTGAATTATTACGGCTGGGTCCTCGAACTTCCGAATATACGAGGGTAAAATAAATGATTGGACATTGATCTTCAGCCCCCCTTTGACCCATTATCTAGTGACTGGTGCTATAATTTTTGGAATAGAAAATTTTTTTTTTTGAAGTGTGATTGATAAAGAAGGAAAAAAAATGAGAAATGTTTCATGTAAATTAGCACATTCATAGAGTTGTCTATAAAGCTGACATGGCAAGATTTTGGTACAATTCATTTGAAAATCAAATTCTCAACAGTCAACATATTTGAGAGAAAAGTAACTCAAATAAATCTCAAACCCTAGGCATTTCTTTTCATTTTCATACTCTCACTCTCGACAGAAAACCTCCAACCTTTCATTCCCACTCTGACTCTCGGATGTCGTCTTCCCAACAACGGACATATTAAATATGGATGAACATGAAAATGAGCCTGAAAAACATGATGATTAAAATCTTTATGATTTGCCAACTTCATATCATACAGTTGTAAACCCAGTCAGGCATGAATACATGGTCGAATCGAGCGAACCTAGGAATTTCGAGGACATGGATTACTTGCTCGATGAAGTGGAAGGCGGCGCCGACCAAACAAGTAAAAGATTTTTTTTCGTTACCTTTCTAACTACAAACTAGTCCTTTTTCTCTATGCTTTTTGCAAATTGTGGAGATGTGGGAATTTTTTTAAGCTAATTTCACAAAATTTAGAGAATTTTTTTCTTATTATTGCTGTAGATACAA